CCCCTCCACGCGTCCCGGTTCCCACCCTCAACGGCCCTCAGGCCGGGGTCTCACCTCTCCACCCACTCCCGCAGGAAGCGCATTTCCTCGCTGTGCAGGACGCTCGGGTCCTGCCTACACATTTCTCCCTCGGCCACACCGTGTGTAAGGGGGCGGCAGCCGCGAGGCAGAACAGACTAGAACTTCCCCGGCCGCCGGCTCCGCCCACCAACGGTCTCGTGACCCCGGGTCCTTCGCCGGTTCATTCCAACTCCCCTTCACCTCTACTCCAGCGCACTGGTTAGAAGCTTCTAGAAGTGTGGCTGTTCGCGCCGTTGCCTGCCCCTTTAACGCACGCTTTCTTCCATTCTCAACTCCGAACCAATTCTCTGGGTGGAACCACTGGCTACATGGTGCTTCCCAGGAGGCGGGAGCGAGCAGCCCCTGCCGGGAGTCACTTAGAAGCCGACGTTCTGTGACTGTGAGCGTTTAGTGGAGCGTGACGTCATGACGCCACCCAGGCCATCTGGGCAGAGCGGTGGTCAGCCACAGCTCCGGCGTGACGTCAGCGTCTGCGCCGCCTCGGGAGAAAAGCCCGGCGAGCAGCGCCGGCCGGCGGGGGCGGGGCGCTTGGCTCGGTTTCCTGGCGACGCAGCCCTGCGGGCGGCTGCTTTCCCCGCCGTTCTCCTCCTCTCCTTCCTGACGCGTGTGCGCGGCCGGCATGCCTGGGCTACTCTCAGCAGCTAAGCTGGTTCCCGCTGTAGCGAGCGCCCGCAGCCTCTCAGGTTAGACTCACCTCCCACGGGGTGTCCTCCACGGTTTGCTCCCTGCGAAGCCTGAGGCGCCCCAGAGGGATCCAAGTTGGTCTCAGGGCGATCGCTGGTTCGGCGGACCCTTCTGCTGGGGCCCCCCACTCTAAACCCTCCGTGCGCTCCTCGGATCTCTCTACCGGCCGCTCCCGGGAACGGGTGGGCCCTGTGTTCTCCCTCCCGTTAAGGTGTTCTGAAAGCTGAACTGACTGCAGGGAACCAAGTGTGGCCATCCCCTAGCGGGGCTGTCTTCAAAGTGACGTGGACCCAGAATTTGTGTCAGTTCTCCCGTTTGCTTAGGTGTCAGAGTGACTCCTTATCAACAGCTCTTGTTTCTGTTAGTTAACCTAAAATTCTATTTTCGTGTTGTTAGAGAGTTTGATTTAAAAACCGGGTCCAGAATGTGCAACAAACATGGTTAGTAACACAAGTCCTCTCACAAGAGGTAATGTTTGGAAATACTATTTTTGTGTCTGAACTCCCTGTTTGTAAAGACAAGGTGAAGAAGTCAGGAATAAGGGGGGCAGTCTTCTAGGGTGTATCTAGAGCAGTTGATCTCATGAACATAGAACTTGGTCAGTGAAAGCTGAATCATCTACGTTGCAGGTGCATCTGCCATTGGATCAGATTTCGGTTTTGGGGGGCGATGTGTGAACAGTGAGTGAACCCGAACATATGGCATTTGACATCAAAGCTATGTCTTGGCATATGTTTCTGATTCTGGTGGTATACTTGAATTTATTGCAAATGGAATGGTAATTAAATCAAGACTTGCTCTACTTACTCTAAAAAATAAAATAAAAGGTAATCATTGTCCAGTGCACAGACCTCGCTCGCTCCAGTTCTGCAGAAAGCTTTCCCTTCCGTGGGAGAGGGTGAATAGATGTGCAGTTAGTCTTTTTTTTTTTTTAATTATATTTATGGGAGTCACATTGGTTAATAAAATTATATAGGTTTCAGGATTACAGTTTCTATAATACATTTCTGTATATTGTATTGTGTGTTCACCACCCCAAATCACAGTTAGTCAGTCTTAATCACAGAGGCCACAACCTATGATTTAGAGCTGGAACCATCCTTTGCTTGTGACTTTTTTTTGTATTTGTTAAGACTTTGTGTAAAACCCAGTTAATCACGGTTAGGACTAGATACTTTATTATATACACCAAGATCTTTCAAAAAGATACTATACTTCATTTTGCCTCAATAAAATACGTAAATTTAGCCACCTCTTATATTATCATTTTTATACTATATACATAGGCTTTTTGAATAATTGAGTGATCTACTTGGTTCTTCACAAGTCCATTAAATTAGGGCAGATATTCTTATATTACTAACAGGGCAACTGAAACTAACACAAGCTCACAAGTAGCAAGTCAGGAATGTTGGCAGCTGGTCCTTTTTCTGTTATATCACTGCGTCTTACTCTGGCTTAGTAGAGTCCTTTTGGAACTTTTTATTGAGCCACAATGACTACTAATTTAATAACCTTTGAGTTAGTAGTCATTGTGGATGAATCTCCACTTCCCTGGAGTTGCTCAAGTCTAGCCAGAGTGATAAACAATAGGTAAGTGACAGTATAGCAAAGAATGGTGAGAGTCTTGACTCAGGGGACATGGGAGCTCAAAAAGGGCACTACTGGGCTGTAAATCTTATGTTCTCCTGAGATTTTACTAAGTTTTAGAATTTGAAAACTCCTCTGACTTGAGGTGCTCATAAATAGAACTTTTAGTGTCTGTGGTGCTCTTGGTTGCCTTTTTTTAGAAAGGCCCTGGGTACAAAGTTTTGAGTACTGTCATAGGAAACTTTCTCATCTGTGAAAGTCATACAGTTAAGAGTGTGATTTAATTGGTTGGTATATGCAAATGTTAACACAATCTAGTCATCTGAGAAAAAGCAAAATCAAGCACTTAATGATGCATAAATAAGCTGTATTTTAAAATACTACATCTAAGATAAATATAAGACTGAGATGGGGAAGGAAAATATTGAAAATATTAAAGAATAGCTCTGGCTGGGTTGCCCAGAGGATCGTCCCAATACGCCAAGGTGGTGGGTTTGATCTCCAGTCAGAACACATACAGGAATCAACAAATGCAGGCATAAATAAGTGGAACAACAAATCGATGTTTCTCTCTCCCTTCCTTTCTCTCTAAAATCAATCAATAATTTTTAATAAGAAAATATTAAAGAATAAATAGAATAATTTTTAAAGCCTATTTGCAGTTAATTCACTCAACAAACATTAATTGAGCACCACATATTAGCACTGAGCCCAAAAAGTTTTTACCATCACAAGAGACAGACAAATAAAAGCAAGTAATTGTGATATTATATGAAATTTAGTCATAGACACCTAGTAGTGGGGAGAAGGAAAAAGTGATGCATATTCTCTGGAAGCAAGGAGGGGCTAAGTGGAAATGTGGGCATGCCTTTAAAAATTAGGAGATAATTGATTTAAGACGCCCTAACCGGTTTGGCTCAGTGGATGGAGCGTCGGCCTGCCGACTGAAGGGTCCCAGGTTCAATTCCGGTCAAGGGCATGTACCTTGGTTGTGGGCACATCCCCAGTAGGGGGTGTGCAGGAGGCAGCTGATCGATGTTCCTCTCTCATCAATGTTTCTAACTCTCTATCCTTCTCCCTTCCTCTCTGTAAAAATCAATAAAATATATATATAAAAAAAAAGAAGTAGTCACCAGCCTGGCTGTTGTGGCTCACAGGTTGAGCTTCGACCCATGAACCAAGAGGTCACTGGTTCAATTCTCAGTCAGGACACATGCCCGGATTGTGGGCTCAATCCCCAGTAGGCGTCGTGCAGAAGGCAGCTGATTGGTGTTTCTCTTTAAAAAAAAAAAAAGACCTGAAAGAAGGCTTTCGCCAAGCAGACTAGAGTAATGGAGCTATCCTGGCAGAATGAACATGCAGAGGCACAGAACTCATACAGAATGGGTGTTGCAAAGCTTTGCAATTGTTAATAAGCCTGGAGAAGCCTTTTTTGAAATATGTTCCCAGGCACATTAATAGGTGTTACACCAACATGGTTCTGTGGCATAAGTACAGGGCATGCTGCATTTCACAGTGCCCATGGTAAACCAAGTCTGGGTCTCTTTAAGGGAAATGTATTTGGCAGTAGTAATTTGCAAAATGTATTTGACCATGGAGCCCTTTTTCTGTGTTGAGTCTTGAACTGGTATCCCTTGGAGCACATTTTGGAAAAACTTGGGCTCAAGCCTAAGATGTGTAGGAAGAGGGGATAGAAAATCAAGTTGAGAAGGAAGCTGATGGCTAGTTCCTGGAAGACCTTGTATATTATGCTAAGAAACAGTGAGCAGAGCCCTGGCAGAGCAGCTCAGTTGGTTAGAGTATCATCCATATACACTAAGGTTTAGGGTTCGATCCTTGGTTAGGGCACATGCCCAGGTTGTGGGCTGGATCCCCAGTAGAGGGTATGCAGGAGGGCAGTAATTGATGTATCACTATCACGTTGATGTTTCTCCCTCCCCCTTTCTCTTCCCTAAACATCAATAGAAACATATTTTATAAAATAATAAAATAACCTAGGCTTTTATGATTTTACTAGTAGCCCTGCATGAAATTCGTGCACATTAAAAGGGAATTAATTAGAGGAAATATTTTAATATTGCTATTTGCCCTTTCTTTATAATAGAAGTGTCAGAAATGAAAGAAAATTAGTAAAATGTATATGAAAATCTCCTTCCTGTCAGAGTCTGGGGCGCGCCGAGGGACCAGAGTCAAGTCCCCACCTACCCGCACGTGCCTCAAAATTGCGTGAGACCCAGACCAAGCCAGCCCCACTCCCATTGGGCGAGACCCAGACCCGGCCGGCCCCACCCCTGTAAAGCCCCGCTGGGCAGGGGGCGCAGCCTCAGGTCCCCCGTCAAGCCCTACCAGGCAGGGGGTGCAGCTTCAGGTCCCCCGTCAAGCCCCTCATGATCAGTCATTATGGCGTGACTCCGTGATGATCATTTGCATATTAGCCTTTTATTATTATGACTAGAGGCCCGGTGCACAAAAATTTGTGCATTCGGGGGAGGGGGTCCCTCAGCCCGGCCTGTGCCCTCTCGCAGTCTGGGATCCCTCGGGGGTGACCACTTGCTGGCTTAGGCCTGCTTCCAGGGGATTGGGCCTAAGATGGCAATCAGACATCCCTCTGGCAGCCCGGCAGCCCTCGGGGGATGTCCACTTGCCAGCGGGGAGCAGGCCTAAGCTGCAGTCAGATATCCTTAGTGCTGCTGAGGAGGCAAGAGAGGCTCCCACCACCACTGCTGTACTGGCAGCCATCAGCCTAGCTTGTGGCTGAGCAGAGCTCCCCCCTGTGAGAGCGCACTGACCACCAGAGGGCAGCTTCTGCATTGAGCGTCTGCCCCCTGGTGGTCAGTGTGTGTCATAGTGACCAGTCATTCCCAGTCTCACTGCTGTTAGGGTCAGTTTGCATATTAGCCTTTTACTATATAGGATAGAGGCCTGGTGCACGGGTGGGGGCCGGCTGGTTTGCCCTGAAGGGTGATCCGGATCAGGGTGGGGGTTCCGCTTGGGTGCCTGGATGACGGGCTGATGGCTGTTTGCAGCTGGTCACACCCCCTTCATGGTGGGGGTCCCCACTGGGGTGCCTGGCCAGTCTGGGTGAAGGGCTGAGGGCCGTTTTCAGGCTGGTGGGCGACTGAAGCTCCCAGCCTTTTTTCTTTCTTTTTTTTTTTTTTTATTCTGGGATTTATTTACCTTCTATAGCTGTCACTGGAGCTGAGAGCCGGCTCCAGCTCTGAGGCCTGGCTCCAGCTCTGAGGCCGTGGCTGGCTGAAAGCAGGTATCTGGGTTTGTTTAGCTTCTATAATTGAAACATTGTTGCTTCCGGAGCTCAGAGCTGGGCCGTGGCAGGGGGGGAACCTTGGCTTCCTCCATCACTGGAGCAAGCAAGCCTCATGTTCGCTTCAGCTGCGTGGCTGCCGGCCGC